GGAGCCGAGGCACCCATCATAGGAACCGTAGCCATTTCCTTTGGTCCGTTCATTGATTAAACCTGTTTAGGACGCGTTTCATGGGAGTATCCAGAGGAATTCAACATTTTAGCCCATTTTAGAGGCTTCTTTCTACAGACTTTTCTGGAAACAGCAGAAAACGATCTGTTGTGTATTCTTTTGATCAGATCCTGTCTGTGGCAACTGGATTGAGAAGCTTCAAATTAATCCCTTAAAATTCAGAGGGAACTAATTAACAAAAAGGGGCGTCCGGTCACTGCTTTACTGTGGCAGTAGGATCTGAAACTGATAATTGTTAAATGTCACTTTGGGCATTAGTTAAAAGATTAGTTAAAAACCATATTTTTTAGGATGTTTTCCTGCTCTCAGACCTGTGACATTATTATCTGGAAGATATAATTTCTACTTATGTGCACCTGTTTGTTTGAGCTTTGAAAACTAATATAATTCCAGGGCACGGAACATATAAATCTTTTTCTGTTATAATTTTCTTCTAATTTACCACAGCAGTATTGGGGAAGTCCCATTACCTCCCTTTCTAACCAATTTGTTTGTCCACTAATGCATCTTCTTTAAAGTTTTTCCACTGCACCATGTAAGAGGCAGCAGCTCTTACATGGTGACGGTAAAAACTGGCCTCGTAACTTTGGATCGCTCTCAGCTGCAGACAGCCTGATCTCTGCATAGGCTGACATGTTAGCGTTCCTTTGATGCTTACAAAATCAGCAGCTTATGTGACAGATCTGTTGTTTATCTTTTAAAAATGAGGTTATATTTAGGCCAGCTGCAATAGGTATTAATAAGAGGCTGCGCTGTTTCTAATTTGCCTTATAATGACATGACAACCAGGTGTGTCCAACGCTTCAACATCTGGTGCAGGTGCAGCAGTGGAGTCGAATATAAAAAAATAAAAAACTATTTCCCTTTGGGAGTAATAAGGTATTGAAAGGAATAAACAGAGAATATTACTGCAGAAACTCAACTGATAAAGAAATATTTGTGTTCAGATTAAAACACAA